CGTGGTCGTATCAGAATGGACGACGTACTGTAATACTGTTTGATGCTAACGTCCATTGTGACGGCAGTTCGCATCGTTCTACCTTATAATTGACTGTCTAGTGTTATAATTAGCCCAAAACATAACCCAGAAGAAGACGTCGTATGCGCCAAGATGAAAAGATTTCACCGCGCTTTCTTTTTTGGGGTAATGATGGCAGTGACTCCTATGCATTTCTGCCATATCGGTTGTGGTGGTGTTTTTCAGTAGACAGATTTACTGTAAAAATATAAGGAGATCTGTCTGTGCCTGACTACCGTTACCTCATTGTTGGATTCTCTTAGGATGCAGAAGCATAATGGTTAAAGTACTATTTAACATGCTTGATCGTAGAAGGCAATCCATTACTTAGATTTTTGCATGTTATTCGAGCGTTGCATACCGAGGTGGTATTTGTAGATAGCAGCAAATAACTATTGTGTATATAAAGTGTGCACCGAAATGTATTCTGGCCGTCGGCCCACTTAGCGGACCTTTATGACGTTGCAGCATTGTTGTGCATAAACATTTTGTTGGCCATGAGTCAATTGGAGGTTTAGCAGTTGGAGGCAAAATGGTGAAGGTTTGGTAAATGGAAGTTAAATCGCTAAGACATGGCTGAATTGTTAGTTTACAGCCTCATCAGACCTAGCCAGGTTGTTTCGAGGTTTGTCAGCATGTGAAGCCGCAATAAGCTTTGCTTTCTTTGTTGAAGGCGGTGCTCTTGAATGATGTGCTGTGTTTGCCTCATAGTTCTTGATAATGATTTTATAACGAAAGACTCGGCTGTTCGCATCAAGCGAGATCTATTCCGTACTGTATTTTTTCATGAAAAGAACGGTATCTCAGATGACGCCCATCATGACCGTGTAAGGGAAACTGTCATTCCGGCGGTTGCTAGCTAACGTAACGTAATTTTCTCTAGACTGTTAAATGTTCAGTTCGAAGTCAGACAGCGAAACTGGAACAGTCTGTTGCTGTCATCTTCATCAGTGGCTGACAATGGTTGAACAGCACAGTTTCTCTGACTAGGTATATGATACCTGACCTACTAGGGAGCAGCATGTAATATAAAAAGAAAGCGCTGAAAAATTCTTGTTCAGAAATATAGCTACATGCCTCATATTTCATTCATTCATCCATCAATTTTGAATGAAATAAGTTACTTGCTGCAGCTGAATTAAAAATTGACTATTCGGTGTGAGCGACGATAGTCTGCATTGCAATTTATTCGCGATCCGCTGTTTGGAAGGCCAATGCATGATACTATTTAATGCTCGCTTTAAGAATAAACGTAGACTGTGGTTCTCTGCCTATTCTCATGAATTTGTGATCAGAAATCAGTCGCTTGGGTAGGTCTGCTTTTAGAATTAAGACGTCGCAACTCATGTTTGCAACTTTTTTTGTAACCTGATCATTTTGATTTCATGGCAGTCCTTCGCGAACTATCCGGTATATTGACCTTCGATGTCGTTTATAGCGGTCATAAAATAATTCTGGGCTACTCTTCTATTCAAGCTGTGTGACCATGACACCTACCTCTAGGTAGGTGGCGGTAACAAAATCTTTAGTAGCTGACGCAACACCTAATGGCGTTGGAACTTTTCACGGTTTTGCGTCTTGCAGATCCGGCTGGTAAAAGTAATGAACTGTGTGACAAGGCAGGACACTGTGGAAGTTGTTCTTCTCTACTCTGAATGCGTACATCAACCGTGAAAGATCATAACGAATCGATGACAGCTGCGATCGATACGG